TGCCGACAGCCCTCAAGCCCTTCTGTAGGTCGAAAATGCACGTTCTGCCCAAGTGCCGTCTTCTTCCATTTTTAGACAGGTCTGGTGGCGCTACAAGTAGGCAGCCATGTACGAGCCTACCCTCTTTTTCAATCCCAGATAAAAGTCTTTTAATATTTTGGACCGAATATTATTTCATGTCATATTTCCGCAATCTCAGTTCTACATTAAATTATAAATGCTTAACTCAGAAATTGGTCGCATTCGTAGCTGTGATGAAATCTTTTATTGGAGCTATTTTAGTTTAATGCGCGATCTCCCAGGCACTAGTGAAAATGTTACTTTCTCACACACATTTAATCATCTTCCAACAAAGGGTATTTCAATTTTTAAAGAGATTAGCAATCCACTCACCATTTCCTTGTTCTTTATGAAAGGGTACAAAGTCCATTGACAGTGGGAACAAACATACTTGTATCTTGCTCTGTCAAGCTCTCTCACTCTCATAGAGACTCTATTAGACTAGCGGGTTGGGATAGAACTTGACTTTTAACTTGCAGAAGAGCAATGGACTGTTAACTGAGACAGCCTGAACAGAACGCCAGAACGCCAAGATGATGATCGAGGCTTATGGTGACTGAAGCGCCCGAGTGGTTGAATATCCCTAAACAAACAACATTAATTTGCGCAGGTAAAGAATTCGCTTTAAGCAGCAGTGCTGCATTTGAGACCACGTCGCTCCGTTGACAGAGACTAATACAAAATGTCAATCGGGACTCATGACACTTTTTTTTTCTCTTAGTGACATCTGGTATGGATTGATGTTAAATAAGAAAAATAATGGCCATTCACAGTCCGTTGGAGGGTCGTGCTGCAGTTAAGTACGAATGGTTGGTACAAAAGAACCTCTAAGCCCCGTAATAGCTGCAAACAAAAATTTGCAATTAATTCGTTGAATGAACCGCTGATTTTTTGTTTAATTGCTTTAAATTTGTAGCCAACTAACCAGGGGGAAATCCTTACTCCATTAGTCTAACACCGCCACTATTTCACATTCCACGAATGAAGATACATTCTATAAATCAGATTTTATTTCCTTGCCTTTAGAGAAAAGAAAAGCATGCTATTTTGGAGTCCTCTGCGCCTGTTTTTGAAGAAAGGGCTATTTCTTAGCTAATTTTTCAACCACAGTACCATGGATGAAAGGAAATCATTTCAGTTCTAAAGGGTTTTGAAATTAGGTGCGTGTTTGTAATATTTATGCATAATACTATTGCATGTCGTACATCTTGGACTTAATCAGTTGTAATTTCTTGCACTCCCATTTGGTCAAATTCCTTTTCTTAAACAACTCTGTGTTTTTAATTCCAACATCTGCAGCGGATTGGTATTTTGCTGAGATTAATTGAGATCTGATTTAAAATGAGTGTTTGCGAAGCAAAAACACTCGGAATATTATTTCTGAAAAATTTGGAATTTCTTTGGCATTGTTTAATTTAAAATTCAAAGTTTTGGCTTTTAAAATGAGGAGGCGTAGCTTTTCAAGATTTTTTTTTAAGATAAAAGAAGACGTGATGCTAGGATAACTATATGTATTGTCGATCAACATTAGGGGTTAAAGGTGCCGGCACGGCCCAGAGGCCAAGCGCTAGGCGAAGCTAGCATAGCTGCGCTCTTGCGTGACAACCAAAACCTCTAAGTAAACAGCCAACCCATTACGTATTTTCTCTCTTCTTTTGAGCATTGTCCTAGGCGCGCTTTATGGTAAACCTCCAGCTTTGATTATCACAATGTTTCGATGCTGTGGGAAAAACACCCATTAACAAAACCTGCCAATCTTTGATGTGACAGTAACTCCACTGATCCCCCCTGGCAATTCCAGTGAATCAGGATTTTCGTCCTGTTTGAGAACTGCATTGGGAAAAGGGGAATATGCAGCCCATCATGTATGTTTACCGCTACTTGTAGGGATACTGCCTTAAGAGATGAGTCATTTACTAAAGGGCGATATTTAACATTGTTCTGTTGAGATATGGTTTCGCACCTATTCCTCCTTGCGACTTTATTCTCACTGCAATGCCGACCAGACAAATCAATGTAGGGTCTATGTAGCTAACAGGGAGGTGAAGGAGATACCGCGTGTTAACTTAATTAACGCAGACAGCTCCATACCGATGGTTCACGGCTAGTGTCGCTTTCCGTAGAATAAGGGACTGAAGTAGTTGCCCAAAGTACACACCACTTTTCTACCTTCTGATAGGGGTCATCACAGATTTTCCTATCTACAATATATGAATTTCTTACATCACGCATCAGGATGTTTCTCCTTCAAGGTAGAATTTGCTTTCCGCTGCCACCAATGTAGCTCTCCGAGACTTCTTTGAAGTCGAAGGAAGGCCGGAAACCATGCTCTTCTTCTGTCAAAAATATCTTTTAACTTTATTCCTCTCCTTTTATTTTTACTTAAATAATTGCAATTTATAAAGTCTTTTAATAACTTGTCGTTTGCAAGGGAAACTACTTGATGCATCTAGCTTTGATAGGTGTAGGTCATTGTGCGAGAAATGTTTATCGCATTTGGTAGAATGGTTACTTTGATGGAGGTCCTATCTGAAAGTCGAGTTCAGCAATGCTAGAACTTTGAATAGGCCATAACAAGAAATTTCCACCCTACCTGGTATAGAAGCTGATATTTCCAAGATCCATCATTCTAGCAGGTCGTTACCGTATTTTGCATTGAAAATCTAAAAGTAGTTGATATAATCTCGCAAAGGCGCAGTCCCTTTTGAACGAAAAGGTAATAATTTTTTGAAAATTTGGCCCCATTTTGCAACGTTTACTTTAGCTCACTAAACAATCTTAGGTGACACTCCTTTTAAAGACCTACCACCCTGTAATTATTAGCTCCTTCCACAGTTTATTTTCTCTTTCCATGAAGCCTGCCGATTCATCAAAGTCCACTCCACTACCTCATCTCCCCTTGGTAAGATCAACAGTCATACTTAGCCCTCAAAGTGAGGCAATCGCAAACCATCCAGTCAGTGTAACGAGGAGACGTGCTTGCCGTCTTCTACGAGTTTCCCTAGGAAAGTGGCGTTTAGGCGAGTCATTTAATGATGCCGATTAGTTAGATGACCACCAAGCAAGAGGGCAAGGGAGGAGCAATGAGTCACAGGGATTCGCCAACCCTGGCGAATTCGCCTTCAGTTGACATGATTTGCCTACCGGTGATGTCGTTGTAACTTAACTGATTCAATGACGGCATCTGCTACCACGACTTTTGGATGTGGGTGTGAGTCAGCCCATGGCTCCACTGAATATTTACCCTCAAACAAAAGGTCAGCTTTGAGGGCTTCTCAAGAAGTCCTCTCCAATCCCCTTCAAGTAAAAACGTATTTTGAGGCACAATGTTTCTTCCACAGCGCTGAAAATATTAGTTCACAAGTTATCCTGGAAGGCGTTGAAGAGTGTACAAACGCACAATTAGCTTACCTTCATGGAGGTCGAATCGCGAGAGAATGAAGAACCCATGTAGATGCACATTTGATTACAATAAATGTTATCCTGCTATCTCTTTACCGCCATGTTTGAGAAGCTTGTACTGAGAGTTCATTCCTTAAAATTGTAGAGATATGATAAATTGTCCAAAGGAGGCTGCCAAGTCAACTGAACTACTAGTGAATTTGATTTCGAAACGTAAATTAGGTAGAACGCCCATATACAAAAGTCCCTGCGAAGTACGTGGACATTAACCTTCCAAGAGTGGAGTACCCTCCACCGTCTTTTTAAATACCGCACATAAGCACTAGAGGCAGGAGTATGTTAAGAGCAAAAATAAATCCACCAGACTAGGTGAATAAATATGTGATTTGACCGCGTCAGTAGTCATCGAAACTCCTCAATTTCGTTCAGTTTGATTCAGGTGAGGGAAAAAGCGATACTCCAATATGGTTGTGTTTCACGCCACATGCGATGGAAGATCCTCGAGAACGGTGGCCACTTGACTGGTGAACTAGGTGAACATGGGATTGGCCAAAAGTGTTGGCAAAAGAAAAACCGCCTACCGACTTTTTGTGCAAACTCAAAGGCGCAAGTGACACGCTCTCCACTTTTTGGTATCAAGACAACAAATAGATTTCTTGGACTGTACAACTCCAGTGAAGTCATTTTCATCTCTTTGCAAACCCTTGTAGATAAAAGTGTATATCCTTGGCAGAAAAGTATTGATGTGCATAAGCTTTGTGGTGAATGTTCTTGAAATTATTTAGAGGCTGAAAGTATTACCTTTCAAGAAATGTTGTTCTAATAACTAATTGTTCTGATGTCTTGTTTACTTTTGCCTTACCGCTTAAAAGAGGAATCGTTTCATTGCGAAGAATTAAGTGGCACTAACTGAGTTTGAGTTGATTGTGGACGATGGATACCTAATGTGGCATAAGCGGTTCTATTTCTTGATAAATTTAGCGAGACATTTGGAAATCCAACAACTGAGGTAAAGTTTATTCTACTTAGCAAATTGTTCGTAGGCAAAGCCAAGTCATCTTCAATAATCATTCGAGCAATGTCGATAGAGCAATCTGCATACTGCCATTTATCTTGCCTTTTTTCTGATTTGAGAGGCCCATTTACCCACTATAATGTCTTCATCCGCATAAGGTCTAGTTTAAGAAGCCCACAGCTTTCCGCAATTTCTTTCTTCGATTACTAACAAGCAAGAAATTGCACAAAGAGAAGGAGAGAAGGGGAGAGAAAAAGTGAATACTTTATTGAGATGAATGTGTACGAGGAGGTAAAAAAGGATACCCAAGTCCTTTCTCTCTCCTTCACTTTTTCTCTCGCATTGAGATTCATGGAACCTAAAGGCGGTTTTTCCCTAAACCATTTTTACCAGCAGAAATTCCACACACTAACTGGGATTCAGTCATGCCTGCGCTTCTTTGCTTTGAATTTAAAGCCAACAGAGAATACCAAGCTTACGGTCTTAAAATTGCCTCAAAAATTACATAAAATAGAATTCAAAATCAAAAATGCTTAAACCAGGAATTTTTTGAGTAAAATTTTGTAAAATCGGTGATGCGATTTAACAAAAATATTACTATATCCTCGTCATCTTTCCAACCGAAGGGATTTTTAGCATTCTCCTGATTCATTTTGCTTCAATTTGTAACTAAAAATGAAACCACAGACGCGCGCATGAAATATGACTACAAAGTGATGCTATCGTCTTTTTATTTACAGCGCTTTTGTAATGGCATGTTTGACATTGACAATGGCTTTATCCACCAAATAAATCGTCTCCATGGGTTGAGAACTTGGAACCTCTTCCTCCTCCTTCTCTTACTTACAGAAGGGATGCGTAATTCATTGGGAAATCAGGACTAGAGGCAATTTATTTCTCCTCCTCTCCCTCCTGTCTGTCTGTTCTCCATTTGCCCTGTCAAATGCAGGCAATTCCCCAAAGATCAATAATTCAAAGTAGCTTGATTACCCTTAATTTTGCTTTGCATCCCCTTTCCCATATCGCCTTTTCACACCTCACCCCCTCTTCACCTCCCCTCTTTCGCTTTTTCCCCAGGGAAATCAAACCATTTTCGCACAAATCAACAAAATATTCGCTGCATTTGTATTAACATGTCTCATCCTTGTGGGTGCCAGGGAAGATCTAGGAAAGGAAGGGCATAGGAGAGTAGTCACTACAAAGGATGGCTAGTTAATTGTGACGACCAGCTTCTGCTACTGCAAACCGTGTGCGTTTAACACAGTCATTAGTAGTGACGCAAATACGTGACGTCTCAGATTCCCTGGTCAAGACCAGATTTTACAGTCAAGTAAGCGCGTGCTCTATGCCATTTCATGGCATAAGTGGTTGCTTAACTGGCTGAGCTTAAAGGCTGAAAATAATTAAATTTATTAGGTTAGAGCAGCTTTAGAGGTTGTCAAAAAAATACTAGTGATAAATTTTATATTAGGCCTAAAAGGTCTGGACTGTACTAGCCGGTTTTCTTCGGTACTTTTGCGTTGAGCCTGTTAATAACCCAGCCTTCAACTAGCACTGGCAACTAACATGATTGGATAACATAAGCAATTATTATGAAACACCTTCAGCAAACCTCCTGTCAAGTAATTACCACGCCACTCAAGCCTTGGAGATCAGTCTCTCGTGGGACGTGGAAAGCCTTTATTGCCCATAAATCCAACTAGGCTGGGTTTGATCGTGCTAGATGTTGCAAAACAAAGACAATTTGACATTTCATAATCAAGTCGAGGGCAACATGTTTAAGCGGTTGACAAAACTTTACCCACCACTTTCGGTCACAGGGCTGTCATTTAAAAGATTTGTAAACACTCCGAATTATCTAGCAGTGCGGACACAAATAGGGTAGAGCATGTGAAAATTTATGGCCGCCAAGATGAAGTTCAAATTCAATTGCTATTGTTCAGCTAAATTTCATTTGCTGTTGAAATTAGTAATATTTACCTTAATATTCTGGTGTTGTAAATAGACCTATTTAAATTTATATTTGTTGACCTTCTGCACTCCTCTGAAATAGCTATTTCCACGTGCCTTTGTCTGACATCGTCTTTAGAAGCAAATCTGGCAACCTCTGGCACCTTCGCATGACTCCTTTTCGTTCTTGTAATGTGAAATAACTTGCCTGGGCTTTGTACAACAGTGCTACCATTGAGAAATCGTCAGTTTTAATATTAAGCTAATGCTCCTCGTGGACTTTGCGCCTACTCGCTAGACCCACTGGATACTCGAAAGGGATGTTATTTACCCTAGCTGTGTTATTATTTGTTCACCCCTCGAGTAGTAACATAATGGTCCGACTTCGCATTCAAGGGAAAGCGAGTTTTTATAGAAGTAGGACAACGTGGACGACAGTCATGAATTTCTCACAAAACTATCATTCAGCCTCGTTAGCACAAACATCCACCTTGTCTGGTATGTGTGGGTAGGATGTGAGGTCAGTTGAACTGACCTATGGCCACACATTAACCGTCGGTGAGGTCAAAGGCTCCAAGTTGAAAAGTTTGCTTATAATAATGATTTTTCTATTTCCCCAAGCGCTGATAGTCGGCCAAACCGGGTGGATTTGTTGCATTGTTAATAAATTGTTTGGCTTCAACTCCAGATATCTAGATATTTGGTGAATTAATGAAATAGAATGATTTGACTCTCTAAATATTGTCTCTTTCGAAACTCAACTTCGTGCTAGTCCAATTGACTTGGTTAGGTTCTCAAAGACTTCCATTCAAATAAAATTGTTAGAATTACTATATATAAGGTAAGCAAGTAAATATTGAGAATTTAATATCAAAAGAATTTTCAATAAATCCGTGATGATTTAGGCCACATTTTATACCTTAAATTATCACCATCGTAAAGTGACACAAGTTCGCTGAGAATTCCACTTCTCTACAAGGTTTTGCTTCCATGGGCAAAAAGCCATGCTCTAGCCACCTGTGTTTCCATTTCACCCTGCTTTCCCAAATGTGTCCACCCTACATGGCGCTTGACCGTGTGACCGTTGAACGCCATCATCAAGTAAAGGAGACAAGCGTCACTTGGAGAAGCATGTTGGGAATGGAGAGGGAGCAGTGATGTGAGGTGAAGCGAGACAATAACACCTTTAATCTCATTTTCCCATGAAGTGTGTATACATTCCCGCGGTTCAGTCTTCTGGTGGTATGGGGTGTAAGATCTTGCGTTGTCTAAGAAACATAAGAGTAAGGCTTTTTTCCTTCTGGATCACTAGTCCTGCTTGTTCCAACAGTTTTGAAGAAGCAGAAGTAGGTGTCTTGCACATAATCCTGTTGTGCTTAGTTGAATCCGGCGGGGAGGCAGACTGACAAAAAATAGATAGATAGGCATATAGACAGAGGGAAGAAGAAAAAATAGGTAGATAGATGGGTACTGGATGGATGGATGGATGGGACGGATACTGAATGGACTGAAACTGGATTGATGGACAAACAGACGACAAAAATGAAATCGCACAACTTTTTCTTGTCTTCTAATTTCTCTAATCTATAGTTTTTGATGAATCTGTTTGTGGTTTAGACTTTGGTCGGCTATTCAATTGAATTCTTAGGCATGTTATACATTCTCACTTTAAAAAAGTAACCTTTGCTTTATTTCCTATTTATTTCGTCGTGTTTCTCATTAGATGGGTAATCGCGAAAGGCTTAATCACGCTATCACTCCATCATTTCTGCTTGAGACAAGTCACTTCGCTCTCACATTGGCCAGTTGGGAAATGTTTAGGCCGAACTTATTAGCCGGATGTCAGGTTTAAGCTCTCCTCATTTCTGATGCCTCGATTAATCTGTTCTCCAGTGCGGGCGGTATGTTTGCAGTGGTAGCTTTTTTCTCGACTGCCTGATCGCTGGTTGAAGTGAGTCACCGCGTTTTTAAGGCAGAGGGAAAATTCTCCCTGTACTCCGTAAAGCAGTAATTTTCTCCCAATAACGCCTCCTCCGTTTATTGCCTTTCCAACACTGTAGGGTGTTTACGGTCTTCCTCTTTCTTCCAAATCAAATTACTCGTTGGACATATTATGGTTTACCTGACGTAGTTAGGGGATAATTGATGCAGGTGTTAGTTTATGCCCTCAACCATAGCGATTTGGGAATCCTACTCGACTATTCCATCCTCTCTTTATGCTTGATAGGGAATTTAGAGTCTTTCCAGGGAAAAATACTACAATATTGTGAAGTTACTTTGTCATACCCTCTATTAGCAATGAGGTACAAGGTGATCTCACTATTTTAAGCCACCCTTGATTCGAATATGCAATTTCTTTATCATTGGAAGGATCTTTATCATAGTGCAGCACAGCGGGTGCAGGCTAGATACACATCTTTATGGCCAAATCGTGGAAAGATAACTTAGGCGCTATGACATGAACAATAATATTATGAAGTGAAGAAAATCTTTCTGGGATTTTTTAAAGTCCCCGTCTTCACTTTTCTACTCGTTATCACTTATGGAAAAGTAGGACCATTTTATAACCTAAATGACTTAATGCATTCATTTTATAAGTCTTGGTGCTCAAGACACCAGGTGGCCCTGATTAACAAGCCACTGAAGCACAGTTTTCATGGCCTCCCATAACCCGATTTATGGATTCGTGAGAAAACTTGACCACAAGAGACTGCGGATGTTGAGATGCCATCTCTGAGACATCGTGGGAACCACTCATACAGCACGAGGTCAGCATCGTGGTGTGCACTCCTGCCACCAACATCTCAACCCAGACTAATTTATCCTCTCTTTCCTTTTGACAACTTAGACAAAGGTTCCATTGTCAGAAGAGGGGAGAGAGGAACGGGGGTACATGATGGTATCGAGAGCCCTGTCATCTTTGTGGCAAACTCTACCAACGTAAGTTGAGTCATTGTGGGCAGTTGCATTGTCTTTTTAGAATGACATTAGAAACACTTAAAATGTCGCCTCCCCACATCGCCCACCATCCTGAAAACAGAGTAGTACAGATCGCTTAAGAGCAATGGCTAATGGTTTTATTGAAAAGAGTGGGTAGTGGAACACTAACATACTGCACAGTCTGCTGCATCCATGGGTGGCCGTGATAAATCTTTCGACGATGTTTCTTCGCTGCTCCAAACCCTCTATCCTTTTAATCAATAGTATCAACTTTCTTGATGGTGGAATAGGCAATTCGAGATTTTAAGCTGACCCAAAATGGGTAAAACACTTCGCATTTTAAAGTAATTTCGTGAAAAAAAACTGATGCACTTTCAATTGCAAAGGTACATAAATGCTCACGCAGTAGTGTTACTTGTTCTTATCCAAATTTTGCTTAAAAATATAAACAAAATCATGTAGATAAGAGTGGAAGAAATATGGCAGCATCTTTACTCTACATTTTAGATTGCCTTGAGTGATGCCACTTTCAATTACTGCCATTTTCTTAACAAATCATCAGAATGTTTAAAATAAAGTCCATTTTTGTTTAAGAAAACTACTACAGTTCCCAGTGCCTGCAACTTTTGTTAAAGAAAGACTAAAGAAACAGTATCTATCTATCTCCCAAAGATTTAGTTTTGTTCTTCAGCAAAAATATATCCTAAGATAAAATTCCGTCGAAAATGAAATTCAGAGAATTTTTTTGCAATAATGGATAGAAGTTATGCACAATATTCTCCTAAGTTACTTATTTGACTATGCAATTATTTTATTTCTGTGGAATTAGGGAATCACAATTATGTGCGACATGGAATAGACAGTTGAATGGTAAATGCAGGATCGAAACGACGACAGTTGGTTTTTCGTTGGCAAAGTGATAGATTATAGAGGTGGATATTTTAAGAAACCGAATATTATAAGTAGCCTTTTGTAGTTATTCAAATTTTTTGTGTAAAAAATAGTATTAAAATAAAAGGTGGTCTATGTGTAGGCAACTGGGATGTGACTTGTTCGGAACTTTTCAGCAGCTTCACAAGCAAACGATGCTCCACCCTGAAGTCTTGGAGATGTCAAGACACAACTATTTGGTTATGCTTTACCTCGAATCCTTTAAAAACTCATATTCCAAACTCCCAGCATTTGAGATCTTTTTAAGTTCGAATGCTGTGAACAGTTTACTTTTTTGGAGGTATGGTAATTTGGGTTCCTCGCTGGATAATTTTACCCTTGTGTTACATGGGGAGTGTACGTTTGCTTGCCTGACTCTCGGCTAACAAATGGTTTTCGTGTCCTGCCGCACTTTTTCCTTGTTGATAAAGGGTTAATATCATGGGCTTTGTGTCATATGCTCTTTTGTAGAAGACATAGTGACCATATGTTTACATACGTTTTTGATGGGAAAATAGGTGAAAAAAATGAAGTTATTAGCCAACCAGTATTGACGGATCAGTTGACATCACAGGGCTTCAGCCACCCCGTCAATAGATGAGCTTTTGGACAGAGCAGATGTAGTGTTACGCAAGCGAAGATTTTAACTTCGGCTAAGAGGAGGGCTAAATGGAGCTTTCGTATTCGTCAGACGTCTCCAGGCGTGGTCGTCCCAAAGCTTGATATACTTCAAAGAGAACATATTGCACGTTTCACGCAACTGATGGACAGAACTGCTTTTAGAGGGCATGGATATGCAACCTCCTATAGGGGCGGATAGGCTTAGCAAAGCAAGTGGAATCGCGGGCAGGATATGGCATTTGTGTCTGGGGGTGGAGTCAGTGCCATAAACCGGTGGCAACTAGATCCAAATTAATGCTTCTGTCGTTGCAGTGCTCGTTAAAAATCGCTTCTGTGGTGGTTGCCCCTTCCATCCTCCCCCCAACTGGTAATCACTGCCATAAAGCCACCACCTGACTGTGCATCTGGCATTGCTGTTCCCACTTATTAGGTCGGCAATTATGATTTACTGATTTTCAACTGAAAGTTGGTTTGGCAAAAAGCAGTCAAAATTGTTAACTTTTAATTAGGCACCTGAAAGTGAAATGCTAAGTATGGTGAATGTGATGCATTAATAAAAGTAGGTCCTTGTTTTGTAGACCAGAACAGATTGTTAGAGGTGCCAGGCAGTGGTCTCCTGCTTACCAACTCAAAAATCATCTTTGTGAACATGTATCCAGTGCTTAGAACTTCTGATCCTGGATTCTAGGCCACCACTCAAGCCTTCGTAGAATTTTGCAAGAAGTGATTCTTTTTAGGGGAACAGTGTGCAGAATTATTCACAAACACTTACACTTTTAAAAGGTTATCTAAAGCTGGCTACGAGGAGGGCTTTCTACCTTACTGCACTAAGTTGAAGAGCTTTTTTGACAGGGAAGGTCAGGTACTTCTGGATCGCATCATCGTACGCAGTGGAACTTAAGTTCAGCATTTAACTCCGGAATTGATAAAAAGCACCAGTGACGAGGTGAAGCGGGCTGCCCCGAGGTGATTCGACAGTACTGAAAAATCTTTCAATGTCAAGGCTTTCCAGATGCTAGTTTAGCAGCAGGATAATCATAGAAATGTCAAAAGAGACTATGGTGAAATAAAAATAGAATTTTGACCCAACAAAGTGTGCTTCTTTTTTTATTTTTTTGTAAACTCAAAAGTCCTCGTTTGATTTCAAGGCTTCTTCCACTTACTGAGCCGTAATCGTGAGTATCATCATTCTGTCAATGCACTGTTTGCTTAAATAGTACCTAGAGAATCTCGTCACTTCCTTTTCGATAGCTTATCTTTAATTTTTGGGAGGCTAGGTTGGACACAGGATAGACGGATGGATGGAGGGATGAATGGATGAATGGATAAATGGATAGTGGATGGATGGTTGGATAATGATGCAAAGTGCGTATACAGTATACTTTATTTTCAGTGATACTAGCCCTCCAAAATACTGCCTATAAAACTCACTAAAACTATATCTCTTTTACATCCATGCTATCAAAAGGGGTTAAAAGCTTGTTGTCCCAGAAGGAAAATATTTGATGAACACTTCCACATATTGGGGCAATTGTGATCAGCCAGTCAAACAAAATAAACCCTTTT